AGATTTATACTTTGAAAAAATAAACATCCGTGACGCGGGTATAAGGTTTGTGCTAATCACACAAATATCTGCCCCTACCGGGATTCAAACTTTTGACATTCGGAGCAAACAGCGGGAAAGTGTTACTGCCTTTGCACACCAGCCTTTTAACTGATAATATCTACCATAAATTTTTTGAAAAGCAACTTCTAATAAAAGAGTTTATTATAAACTAGCGGCCGCCCGCGATTTTGTCGGCTATTACTCCAGTTTTTTGAGATTCACACTGGAACCTAAAATTTTTCAAGGATAAAAAGGATATGAAGTATATGTCAATCTAGATTACAAACTATATGGGTAACAATTTTCATCCTAATCCGTTCATAGTCCAGTCGGAATAGCCATAATTTGGACCGACTTCTATTCTAAGACACCAGCGCTTAGCCAATTTTTTCCTAGGTAGTATAGACCCCCACGAATATGCCCTCCATTTGTTCCCGCTAGAACCCGTGTTTTGTAGCCAGGAAAATTGTTTAAACAAAGAAAAACCGTTTTTTTTTGAGTTTTTTTGCTTGTAAACGGGGATTTTGAAATTTTTATTGAATCAAAGTTGTTCATTAGCTTGCCCTCTACAAAATCAGTTCTATGAAAAAATAACGTGAGATTGTTAGTTTAGCAGTAAATTGCAATTATGTCGGTTTTACGTTTGCAACAATTCAACATGTTATAATAAACATTTTGATTTCTAAAGTAGTTTATCATGTGGGTAACGCCACTCCCAAGAGAGTCATGTAAAATTTATCGACCTGTGTCGCAAACTTTAGCAACAATTCTCAATCTCCGAAAAAAAAGTACTTGCCTGTCCCGTCTTTCCCAGAAGGCGCACAGCGGGGAAAAAAATTCAGGTGATTCGATTCACCAAGAATTTTGAGGAATCGATCGAGTAGAAAAAAATCGTTACTAAAAATGTTCGTTTTTGGACGATTAAATTTTTTTTTAAAAATTGACGTAGAATATTTTTTTTTTTAAACTAATGTATTTTTCTCTCCTCAACTCGAATATACTATTCTGAATATAGATATATATATAATATATATATAATACTAATATACCCTGAGAATTCCGATTATGAACCGGAAGAAAAAAGGACGATATTAATTTAATTAGAAATATAGAATACAACGCAGTCTTGTAATCGAATTTTAGTTAATAGTTTTGTAAATAATTTCTGTACATAAATAAACTGAATTTTTTAAATTTTCAATCGTATATTCGAGTTGAGGAGAGAAAAATACATTAGTTTAAAAAAAATTATTCTACGTCAATTTTTAAAAAAAAATTAAATCATCCAAAAACGAACATTTTTAGTAACGATTTTTTTCTACTCGATCGATTCCTCAAAATTCTTGGTGAATCGAATCACCTGAATTTTTTTCCCCGCTGTGCGCCTTCTGGGAAAGACGGGACAGGCAAGTACTTTTTTTTCGGAGATTGAGAATTGTTGCTAAAGTTTGCGACACAGGTCGATAAATTTTACATGACTCTCTTGGGAGTGGCGTTACCCACATGATAAACTACTTTAGAAATCAAAATGTTTATTATAACATGTTGAATTGTTGCAAACGTAAAACCGACATAATTGCAATTTACTGCTAAACTAACAATCTCACGTTATTTTTTCATAGAACTGATTTTGTAGAGGGCAAGCTAATGAACAACTTTGATTCAATAAAAATTTCAAAATCCCCGTTTACAAGCAAAAAAACTCAAAAAAAAAACGGTTTTTCTTTGTTTAAACAATTTTCCTGGCTACAAAACACGGGTTCTAGCGGGGACAAATGGAGGGCATATTCGTGGGGGTCTATACTATCTAGGAAAAAATTGGCTAAGCGCTGGTGTCTTAGAATAGGTCTCATGTTTATTCCGACTGGACTATTCAGTAGCTTTTGCGTGATTGATTGGATTACAACCATTCAAACTATCACATTTATAATATTAGTGGGTGGGTGCTCTTCTTCTCTATTAGATCTTTTACTTTCACTTTCTACTTGGTTTATTGGTAAAAAAAACTTTTTTTTGTATTTTTAACCGAATTCAAAAAGGATGAGGTTCTCAATTCGACCAGTAGGTATGTTTTTATTAAATATATTTTAATTTCTGTGTTTATATCTAATATTATTCTGTTATTGTTGTTATCTTGAGCTTGAAAATCCTCTGCATGAGGCATTAATCCCTACTAAGAAAAATATCCTACTTATAAAAAAACAAAAAAGAGTGTTCTTAGGGTCGGTACATATCTGACCGAAAATACTTCGCGTATTATTAGTAGGTATATTACCCTAGCGTAACAATTTCATAAGTCCATATCCTAAGGTATATAGTATTTTGTTGCTAACTTGTTGGTTTGTTATTTTGTGCCGCAAGAATTGATTTTGTTGTTCCAAGATTTCTCCGAAAAACGCCTGTCACGCTAGCGCAATATTACGCTAGCGAAACCACAGCGATATCTCGGAGGCAAAAGCAGTTAGAGATATCAGATGAACGGCGTATTTTGTTGCTGTAAGATAAGCTGGTTAGATATGAAAAAATATAAGCCCTTCATGGGGGGCTAACTACTCTTATTCTTAGATATCTCAGATTTTTCGTATCTCGTGAACTAAAGCAGCTAGCGGCACGAGACAAACGGCGTATTTTGTTGCTATAAGATAGGCATGCTGCGTACATCATAATCACAACCCTTATCGGGGTATGACCAACCCCCGACCCCAAGACATCAGATATTTCGTAATTCGTGAGCTAAAGCAGCTAGCGACCCGAGACCAACGGCGTATTTTGTTGCTATAAGATAGGCATGCTGCGTACATCATAATCACAACCCTTATCGGGGTATGACCAACCCCCGACCTCGAAGACACCAGATATTTCGTATCTCGTGAGCTAAAGCAGCTAGCGACCCGAAACCAACGGCGTATTTTGTTGCTATTTTGTTGCTGTAAGATAAGCTGGTGAAATATGAAAAAATATCAGCCCTTCATGGGGGCTTAATACCCTTATTCTTAAATACCTGTGATTTTTCGTATCTCGTGAACTAAAGCAGCTAGCGGCACGAGACACACGGTGTTAATTGTTGCTATTTTGTTGCTATAAGATAGGTATGCTGCGTACATCATAATCACAACCCTTATCGGGGTATGACCAACCCCCGACCCCAAAGACACCAGGTATTTCGTATCTCGTCAGATAAAGCAGCTAGCGACCCGAGACCAACGGCGTATTTTGTTGCTATAAGATAGGCATGCTGCGTACATCATAATCACAACCCTTATCGGGGTATGACCAACCCCCGACCCCGAAGACACCAGGTATTTCGTATCTCGTCAGATAAAGCAGCTAGCGACCCGAGACCAACGGCGTATTTTGTTGCTAGAAGATAGGCATGCTGCGTACATCATAATCACAACCCTTATCGGGGTATGACCAACCCCCGACCCCGAAGACACCAGATATTTCGTATCTCGTCAGATAAAGCAGCTAGCGACCCGAGACCAACGGCGTATTTTGTTGCTATATGATAGGAATGCTGCATACATCATAATATTCATTTTTGATTCCCAAATTAATATTGTAGAAGGTATGTGATGATTCAATATTTTTTTTTTTATATCCTGACAAAAAGCCTCGGGTCGCTAGCTGCTTTAGCTTTAGCTCACGAGATACGAAATATCTGGTGTCTTCGGGGTCGGGGGTTGGTCATACCCCGATAAGGGTTTTGTTTATGATATACGCAGCATGCCGATCGTATAGCAACAAAATACGCCGTTCATCTGTTATCTCTAACTGCTTTTGCCTCCGAGATATCGTTGTGGTTTCGCTAGCGTAATATTACGCTAGCGTGACAGGCGTTTTTCGGAGAAATCTTGGAACAACAAAATCAATTTTGCGGCACAAAATAACAAACCAACAAATCAGCAACAAAATACTATATACCTTAGGATATGGACTTATGAAATTGTTACGCTAGGGTAATATACCTATTATCAGTCGCGTAACGCCAGAACAGGCTAATTAATATACAACAAACTATTCAACCTTCACTGATGCCAGATTGCCCCCAATTCCCTCCAAATTTGGGGGGATATTACTGAACACAGTTACACTACTGAAGTGAAACTTCTTTAGCTCCATCTGTATATATATATATATATATTATAGGTTTCTTGTTACAATATCTCTGTGGTCATAACCGCAGATCAAATATCTTGTTAACTGTTAACCGTAATTATTTTTTTATTGTGAGTTCTTATTTCTTTTTACACGACTGTCTAGAGTGTAACGTTAACAGAGTTCAAGTATGTTTGTTAGTGTGTATGTTTTGGTTTTATTGTATACCAGTTGGTGCCCGCGACTTTGTCTGCGTGAAAAAATTGCTTACTTAGTTTGGTGCTCCATACAAACTTTGAACCCTCATTTTACCTCTTTAGAGTTTTAGAAAGTTTCCTTTCGGACACGCCTACATCATAATAGCTATATGTGTGCCAAAGTTTAGCGTACCTAATCCGTTCAGTGGTTAAAGCTTTTATATATGTAGAAAATAACACATTAGATGAATGTCGTGATCTTGTAATTGAGATGATAGTTGAACGTTTACGAGAGTTGGACCACTAAGAAGGATGTTCTCAAGAGATGGTTTTGTATATGTTGATATTGAAAGAACAGTGAAAGCGGGACACCAAGTAAAAGGAGCTTTACCGTCATTTGTTTCAGTAAAACGTGACTCAAAGTAATGCCTAGGTGTGCACGATGATGTATAATCTCAATGCTTAAATATGAAAAAGTGGATCTTTCTATAGTGCAGTACAAGAAAATTAGAATCAATTGTTTCTGTGAAAATGCAAAAATCTATGTTTTTATTATTTACTTTTGAATAAAACCCCAAGAAGAAGGCTTTCTTAGTCTATAGATTTTACGTCGTTTTAATTGTATTTCATTTCTTTGTTGCAGATCCCACCAATGCAGCCACGATGCAGACAACACGCGAGTCGAGTAGACAGAAGCGCTGCAACAAAAGGCGTAACTCAAGAAAGAAATCATTATCGCCGTCCGATTTGAAATGCCATCGCGGGGACACAAAAACCGAATGCGGCAAACTGAGCAACAGATCATTGTCAGAGGGATCGGTGAAAGTGAAACATAGGAAGAGCAACATACGCAGAACTTTGACCCACCCGTTCACTTGTTCGGATGACATTAGGGATGTGACGATGTTAGGTGTGTTCAATAGGGATGTGAAAGTGGACGTTGTTCCTCCGGAGAGTGACGAGTCTAATTTGCCGCCGACGAGTAGTGATCGGGACACGGAGGACGATGGGCGCGCCTTGCGACCTCCGCCGATCAGACCGCGGTGGGATTCTGGGAGTGAGATGGATTCTTTAGTGTCGACTGTGGTCCGGAGAGCGTCGGCGAGACGACGCAGGACGCCAGCAAACCCAGGTGAGTTTATTTATAGAATACTTGAGTTGCCCTGCGGTTTCACCTGCATTAATTTAGGGAAAAGGTCTTAGTGGATCGCCCTTAAAACATAGACATAATTATGCTGTCGAGGACTTTTTTTATAGAAGTTTCAAAGAGGAACAATTCCGTCATATATGATTTTTGTGTAACTTTTACCGTTTCGTTTACGCAGCGTACACAACAGAAGCTCATAAATAGAATAATTAATCCTGTTTTTGGAAAAAACATCATTGGAGCTCCGCTCCTATTAGTCCTAGTGTTATGTTATATAGCCTAAAGACATCCTCGATACATGCACTATCATACACAAAAATATTTTTTCAAATCTGAAGTACAGTTCCTGAGATTGGTACGTTTAAACAAATCAACTATTCAGCTTTATAATGTTAGTACATATTTCAATTTATCCTCCCTTATTCTTAGCACATATATAACAATCAACGCTCTTAGTTGTTTTTTTTTACCATTCATTAACTGTTTTATTATGGCAACATAGCAATTATATCGCTACAGACAATGAGTATAATTCTTGCATTTTATATAGAATTTAATTACTTTATCAGTATATTTATACAATAATATAGTTGGTCTATGCAGGTACACAGAAGCGCATATTAATGACATTAGTTTAACCGACAACGCGGAAAATGCTTGGCAATTGTACCTACCAAATGTGAAAAAGACAACTACATATACAAAATCTAATGTAAATTTAAATGTATTATTGAATATGTGATGTAGACAACTTGTTCATGATTATAGATGTTTAACAACGCAAATGTGTGCAAATAAACCATTCAATGATTAAAACGTATACCACGGTAATATTATTTAACGTGCCTCTGCCTATACAATGTTTGCCGAGAAACTCATGGTAAACTGTAAAACTTTTACTTTTAACGATACCTGGATAGAAATGTGAGCTGACTGCAATTAATTTGCACTTTCTCTTGAATTTGATAAAATTTATCTATGGGAAGAACCCAGTATTCTTGTTTACAATCCCTAAACAATTCAACATAAAAATCGTTATATCTTTGACATTATGTAGGTAGGTATTACAATAAATCGGTAGTCTTTCTCATTAATTGGATTTATCTGCTTTTGCATTAAGACTTTGACAACGTTTTACCCGCTCGCTTCAAGCGGAACCAATCATTCATCTATGGTTTTATCCCTTTATAAATCTAGACAATGTCATACACTCTGATAGTTTAGTAGCTAACTATTATCACATCACATCTATTATAATATGATGTACCTACATATTTACAAAATGATTAGGAACTTCTCCGGTATTTTATGAAAAATAAGTGAGATACCTATTTAGTTTTTCGCGCGCGAAACGATAAAGGATCATCGGTTAGAGATCGTTTTTGTATGTGGTGTCATCTATACATAGGTAAATAGCAACCTCGTGGCCGCTTATTACTAACTGCAAACATTTATTATTCCATTTCACACTTATAAGCTGTATCCAAAGTATCTAAAAAAATAGTACCGTTAGTAAAGAAGTTTTTAATCGTGAGTAATATAAAAAAAAAATTATCAGAGCCATCTAGTTCACATTATTGCATCGCTTATGTTGTGCAAACGGTGTTTTATAGCTGCAGAACGTGCTTTTGCACATTATAGGTAGTGTTTACGCACAGTGATAGATGGCGCTACATGTACTCTGTACACATTTCGACTTCACAAGAAATGCGCGCCGCATCGTCATATTCGTAAAACTGAATATGGAAAACAATTCAACTGTCTATTAATCTTATAACAACACGTTCATTTAACAAGCATTAAACTTAAATTTATTATTATTATTTATATGTCTTTTTAGTACGGCCGTTTCAGGTGATTTTCTAAGGAAGCCACTTTCCAAATTAAGTAACGGTTCTGCATTTACGAGATAATTAGACCTTATGATTTAAAAATTAAAATCCATTAAATCGATTTCAATTAAAGTTCTACGTTTCTCAATGATGAAAAAAACCTCATTCAACACAGCAAGAATCATTGACATGCATGGAACAAAGTAAATCACAGTTGTCGACATTTGCAGCGGCAAACAGGTTTATGTAACTTACAAAATTTGTAAATATTTAGTTATATTCAAAAAATTATCTGTTGCACACCGAATGACAACGATAAATCACACGATCCTTCAGCGCAATGGAAGAATGAATAGAATTTTGATTGTAGGTCTCAAATTTTTTGTCACTGTTCTAATATGATGGTGAAATATTTATGAATTCTTATATCATTGTTCCTAATGTTTTAAAAAAAAACTTTTTTTTCTTTCTTTATTTCCACGTTAAGCAATTTTAGTCAATTTACACAATCAATTCATTTGCACAGCAAAGGGATACCGCAATGGGTTTATATTTTGCAGTCATCACCCGCTGTACATGCCACATACATATTTTTTAACACTGTTTTACATTTGTCCGATTTACACAAATTATTATCATGCACATGTCTTTGCAACCACTTGTGTTCTAATTTTAGCATGTTCCGACATAAATTTAACGATATGAATTTTATTATCGTTCTCGTGAGGATGTGTTCTGCATATTTTTTTGCGTTCTATTCCATGAGTGGTTTTTCATTGTCCTCACTTTGGATCACATCACACACAGATCTGTCTGACTAACGGTCTAATTTATTCATACAAACTACGCATTTAGTTGTTTTTTAACTTCTCATAAAGAATAAATATGTAATTTATTCGGAAGTCTTGTGCGCTCGCACCGAGAGCGTTTAATAAAAAGGTAATAAAATATAACATAAAAGATTTTCATTTATGATTTGAAGACCCGACAAACGTTATCCTTTCCGATAAAAATATAAAAATAAAAAAACTTTTTTTAAAACAAGCTTTTATTGAAATACCCTAAAAAGAATAATATAAAATTTTCCTTTAAAACTTTGACTATGAACTTATAACGTCATTATTACACAATTTATATAAAATTAGCTCACCATGCATTATCATACAAACTTAACGAGTGTACAAAATTTCAGCTCGATGAAACATCGAATGAAGACATTTGTTTTAAAATTGAGTTGCAAGTATCCACCCGAACAAGCATACATACATTGCAGGTTAAATAAAAGCTTTTAAAAAAAGATTTATTTTAAGATACTAAAAATATCACTCGCAACTTTGCATACCCTGACCCAATCCCCTACATCGTGGTGCCCTGGTACCTTAATCACCGATATAAACACAACACCACCAAAGGTAGTAAAGTAGTGTTATTTTACTGTTATCTTCTATGAGGTGGAGGTTAATTCCTCAAACGAGCGCTTCAATTGAAACTAAAATCCGTTATGCCCAACCTCTCTTAGGATGCACGGATGAAATCATTCTCACTCAAGTTATGTCATGCGTGACCGCGAGGAATAGGGATTCATCTTTATAAATATGGCTTTTTTTATTAGTAAATGCGTTTTGTTTCGAATACTCACTAAATTCTTAAAACAGCACCTCCTAAATACTGAAATAAGAAAAAAACTGATCCGTACCCTGAGCACGAACTATTATCGAATTTGAATAGTTTGTGAGTCCGAAATGTCATTGTCAATTTTTGTATGGAAACTTGAACAGCAGCGCGCCATAACGGTTACTTATTGTGGGCCCCCGTTTCTGCACGTAGACTCCATAGTTGGTCCATTGTCCGTGCAGGGTTAATTGGGATAGCTAGTACAGGTAGCCCAGCTCCTTCCAGAAGCGCAGTAGCCTCTTGGGACTCTCACAAGCTTCTAGGAGTGTCCTCGGCGTCTCTAAGGATTGATGCCCGGTGTTATGCCACGCTTATGCATTCCAGGATCACATGAGCGGCCGTTTCATCTGCTTCCAGGCATCCTCTGCACAGAGAACTATCTGTAACACGTATGGTTAGTAAATGCTTATTTAGTAGGCAATGTCCTGTTTATAGTGCCTAGCATTACTCGGAGATCAGTTCGGTTAAGATTTAATAGTTTTAAAGGTAACGGCAGGAGCGACTCAGGGCCTTCCACTTTGTGTGCTGATCCCCTTTTAGACAGTACGTCGGCTGCATCATTACCCATAGAGCCGCTGTGTGCCATAACGTATATAACGAGAACTAAAAATCAGTACCTACACATTTGACAATGACATTTCGTACTCGTATACGTAACCAATTCGATATTGGTTCGTGCTAAGGGTACTGTACCTCTAGCACGAACCATTATCGAATTCGTAACGTTTGCGAGTACGAAATGTCATTGTCAAATGTGTACTGATTTTTAGTTCTCGTTACGTCCGTTATGTCGCTGCTGTTCAAGTTTCCATACAAAATTTGACACTGACATTTCGGACTCGCAAACTATTCGAATTCGATAATAGTTCGTGCTAAGGGTACTGGTTACAGTTACTTCAGTTACTACCTATCAAAACCTTAATTTAATGACACCAAATTGGCAAGCGATCGGCTCATCGCAGGCGACTGTTAAATTAATCACAATTGTTTTAATTGCGGTTCAATAGACGTTTAACCCGTGCCAAGCGTTGCATAACGCCTTAAAGATTAGGTACCGTTAAGCCTCGTTACTCGATGGTGTTACTTTAATACGTTCTCGTTGCGATACCATGAGCACAATGTCACCTTTTAGGCAGCTTCGCCATCAGCCTATTAATGTCCCCATTGCTGGAGCACAGGCCTTCTCTATGGATGGAATAGGGCGATTGGGCCATGACCCACCACGCGGGCCCAGTGCGGTGGGTTGATTGGTGGGTGCTAAAGACTGCAGATGCCAGCGGGACCAACGGCGTAACGTGCCTTCCTAAGCACGGAGGAGCTCGAGATAGTACATTTTTGGTCACCCATCCAATGACCGACCACTGTGAAAGTTGCTTAACTTCAACAATCGCAGCCGTAAGCGCTCACCACTTGCGCCATCAAGCTCCTCAAGGGGGTTTCGGCGATTTGGCTTTAACAGCATTGACAGCCTTTGTAGTT